CTAAGTAATCCACTTTTTGTTTGTTAACACAAAGTCAACAAATAAACACCCTCTCTTTTTCTTTGCATGATAGTTTGAAGTCCCCTAAAAACTTTAACAACATCATTGCACAAGACATTTGATTTCAACTTAGAACTCAATTATAGGTTCTTTCGTTTTGCTTGTTGGAGCACAAAATAAATAAGTAAACTTTCTTCTTAAACTTAGGATCCAAATCCTAGCCTTCCTTCCCCATTCACTTAGCTTAAATTAAGTGAGTGTATATCCTTCACTTTGAACACCAAGTGCTCAAAGAGATTCCTCAAATTTGCAACCTACAAGTTGTACGTCATTTTCCCCTATTTACCCAACACAAATTTAGTAAACAACCATCATTCATTGAATGCAAAATTCAATGATCCACCCCTCCAACTTGCAACTCCAAAAGTTGCATGTTCTTCATTCACTTTTCTTCAAATCAAAATTGTAGAGAATACCTCATTTTCCTAGCCTCAAATTAGGCAAGTTAACACTTCTCCTTGAAATCAAATGTTCAAGAAATATTCATGAATTTGCAACTCCTAAGTTGCATTTTCTCTCTCCATCCCTCCAACCCAAGTTGAAGGAATGAACCTTCTCTCTTTGAACACCAAATGTTCAAGAGATTTTCATGAGTTGCAACTTTTAAGTTGTATTTCCTTCATCATCTCCTATAAGCCAAAAAATGTAAGAGAACATTCATGTCTTCCCTCACTCTCTTAAACCCAATTTGGTGGAGTGTATATCTTCTCTTCGAACATCAATTGTTCAAAGAGCATTCATAAGTTTGCAACCTAAAGTTGCATATTTCTTCTCCCCTTTTACAACCCAAAAAGTTGTAGGAAATCTCTCTTTCACCTAACCAAAGTTAGGTGAATGAGCAATGAGTGCTTCTTGACTTGTAGTCCTTTCTAACTCCTTAGCCTCAAAGCTATGAGTTTTATTCCATTTCCCTTAGCACTAAAGCTTAGAGGAAATCTATCTTCACTTAACCTCAAAGTTATGGGAGAGTTCAAATCAAACAAAATCTCTTGTTGGGTCAAAATTAACTCATATTCCTACACCAAACATAGGAATATTAATATTATTTCTCATTTATTCTCCTAAACAAAGTTAGGTGAATGAACCCTTTCGTTGGATACCCAAAAGTCCAAAGAATCTTTGATTTGTGGCCCAAATCTATATATTATTCTATTATGTTTGCTTTACCTATGTTTAGCCAACTAAATATCTATCATTGAATATAAAAATTCAATGATAATTCTTCTTCATTTGCAACCCCAAAGTTGCAAATCTTCCTCACCTATTGAGTTAAAATCAGTTGGTGACTAATCTTTCATTTGTTTAATCCAATCAAAGCAAGTTTCCCCACTCTCTTTAAATACACAGATTCAAGGAGATCTTATTTTTTATTGGTAGTTTCAAAGCTAAAAACCTTCCCTCACTTCTATGGGCTCCAAAAGTCTTAGAAAATTTCTTGCTCTAGCTCAAAAGCTATGGGTTTTCTCTCCCTCTCCTCCATCCTCTAAGTTAAAGGAAATTTTCCTCTCTAACTCCAAAAGCTAAGAAAAATTCTCCAACAGCTAGCCCAAAAGCTATATGTTGGACACTTCTTAGACCAAAACTCTAAGTATCCTTTCTTTTAACAAGTAATCCTCCTCTCATGACATTTAAAATGCAACCTTTAGATGTCTTTTAGGAGTTTTCTGCTTGTTGAAATTCATCTTACACTATTAGATGAATCCCACAAAGTCTTAAGTATAACTCTAAGGCACGTTCGCCTTACATTGTTAGGTGAACATTCATCTCTTATCCAAATACTAAGAATATCCCAAAACATCTAAATATCACCTAAGTTCCTTTGGTACAATGAACAATCATTCTATCGCAAAAGGTGGAATGACTGTGTCATTCTATCTTAGGACTCATAAGTAGCAGGTTTGCCTAAAAGCAAGAAGTGGTTGTCTTATGAATTCTTCATAACCCTCCTAAATATGAAACCCCTAAAAATCAAATAAAATATTTAAGTCATAAACAACTTAAAGTAAAATCACACTTGGATTAAGATTAAACATTTTTATTACAAAATAAAATCAAACACCTCTTGTAGTGACACGCAACATAAGCCTCACACACTTAGGTGCACAACCCCTTAGGAATGCTAGGATTAGAATTTTTATTTTTCTACACGTGTTTGGTGATGCGGTGTGATGAATATTGCCTTTGTCTGCATTGTAGGTACTTGCCCTTAAGTGAATAGGGTAGACATACATTTTTTTTTTTGCAGATAGTCGTATTCAAGAGAGGAAAATAAGTCATGATTATCCTAACATTGTTTGCTTGTAGGTGCTGCTTAAATCCCCCAAGAGGCATGGCCAATAGGGTAGAAATAGAGACTTAGCACCTTAAGTGCCAAGCAAATTCTGGATGTGATATGTCTATTATATAAACTGCTTTCTAACACTCTGTTTTGTAGCTTTGAGTTTTTTTTTATTTTTTAAATGTATTTAATTAGATTTAAGTAGTATGTTTAACTTGTGAGGTTTGGTCAAAGGAGAGGTGGATCAAGAAGGATATACATGTTGAAGGTGAAGCCTACGATCCATTTAGAAGCAAAAACTTGAAGACTCCCACAAGTAGAGTATAAAATAATTTAACTAGGTTGTATAATGACAGGCAACGCAGTTGCAAAACTTTGTTGTAATAAGTTGGACTCTATAATTTATATTTTTGTCTTGGTTGATTTATTTACAAAGCGTGTGTTGATTTGTTACCTGATTGCACAATAGAAAATATATGTTTTCCTTAAGTTTCCTCTTTTCTTTTATTTGGGGGTGGCCTGGACATGTTAATGCGGTAAGTTTTTAGGATAAAACTAATTTTTCTATCCATTAAAAATGTAAGCAATCTAAAATTAACTTTAGGCTCCATAATTTTCAATTATAAGAAAAATTGCATAGCTCCCTTCAAGGAGCCAAATTTTCTAAAACTTAAAATGATCATGCACATAGTCCAATATTTTACATATAGAAAAGCTTTCACTTAAGGATCAGATAATAGAAAATTTGCATTTGTAAGTTAGTACCAAGGTTTAAAATTGCATATTCGGGTATTGAGGTGTTTTTCGTTCGTGAGGCGAGGCGTAAGCCTCAAGGCGATTTGAGGAGTAAGCCTCAAAATCAAAAAATTGCTTTCACCCGCCGGAATCTTACTCTCCATTCTCTGTACAACATATCGGATCTTCTTCATACCAAATGCCAATTTCGCTTCCTAGCACTTTGCCGAAAAACTCTGCCCAATGATCACCGTGCCAAATTCTATATGCAACAAATTCCACTGTGCCGCCAATATGCCACAGTAATTCCTACGGCACTATGTCGACTTCTCTACAAGGAACACACCGAACTATTCTACAGTAATTCCAAGTACTGTGCCGAATACCTAAGAGCCTTGTGCCGAAATGCTTGCTACAGGATTGTCTGCTCTATTCAATTCTTCTTTAGTGTGTTATAGCTGCATTTCCTACAATGCTTCACCCAAATATTCGCTCTGCTAGCTTGCGTGAAAACAAAACAGAGAAAAGGCTGTTGGCTTGCATAACTGCTACTTTTATCCCTTATCCACACAGCCAACACACTCTTTTTATTTGTTTTCATACGTGAAAGATGATGAGATGCGAGGCCCACTACCTAACTGCCTTCCAACACACCCCTTGAAAGCATTATTTCAAGAATTAAAGAATTATCTAATTTAAATTAAATCTGTTACTTAAGATAATACTTATCCTGCATTTTAAACAATAACTTAACTGTTTATATAATTTTAACAACAATTTAACATTAACTTTAAATATACGTTTTAGATTATAATTAAATAAATTTTAAATTTTTTTTTTCATACATGAATATTTTGGGTCTTACATTAGTAGTCCTCACCTAAGTAATAGGATCTGAGGCAGATGCTAACCTCCGTCACTTCATAAGCCCTCACATTTCGGGCATTTCCTCCAACATGTGTTGTTGGAATGTAAGCTCCAACATTCTAAATTAAAATAATCAACTTAAACAAAAAATCGGATTCTAAAATGTAACGTTCAACATATGATAGTTCTGAGTACCTCTGAGTTTTCCCCTAAAATCAAATACTCCTACTCTTCCTCCTTTTGGCTCTCATTTCAAGAAAGTCAATCAAAGTTGATTTCCCTCTTCCTTTGAAATTCCTAAAGACCAAAAATCTTTAAACAAAAATTTCATGGATTTTAAAATGAAAACTTTTAGCCAATATCTTGATAATTTATAAAAAAAGAAAATCATTAGTTTAATCAAAAGTTTTTTCAAATACTAAATTCTTAAGATATAATTAACCATAGGGGCTTACCCATATGGGGCCGTACTCCAGAATAAAATAAATCCCATTTAACCAAATATTGACTGGGGAAATCTCTGTTAAAATGGTAAATTTTATTATTGAGTTCATAAGGAAATGCTATTTTTATCATACAGGATAATATATTATCTTTCTTATATCGTGCTCGATCACAAAATAGACAATCCGTTGAGGTTGACAAAATTTCTCCAACATCTAGTAGCTATTTTGAAACAACCACAAAAAAGCGTTAGTTGAAAGACGCAATATAGAAGACAAAAATATCCTTAAAATATATGCCCTTACACGTTAAAACAATCAAAAAGGAATATAAAAGGAAATTTGTGTCATTTGTGATGATAAAGCAACTCCACGACAATTTTTATCAAATAATAAATGTCTTCTTTTTCTTAACAACATTTACACCATAGGTGCAACCAAATAGCTCCAACAACAATACTTCTTAAATGTGCTTTGTAGCAGCATCATAACCAACTATACTGATAACAGTAATTGAACAAACGAGTAATAACTAAAATGCATTTAAACCTCATCATAGCTGATCTTCACTAATTCAGGGAAAAAGAAAAGAACGAATCACGACTCATTGTTCTCACCTTCAATCTAATGAGGAGCTCATTAGCTTCATCTTGCTTTTCTTGAATTTTTTTCTGGCAATTAGATATAGCCTTTTCATATGCAGCATTTTCATCTTGGAGAGAGACCTCTCTTAATTGTGCCTAGGTAATAGATCAATTGCATGGATGAGAGTTCAAGAAATAGAAGAGCATATAAAAGAAAATAGCAAGCAACATAACAAGCAGTAAGACATTAGATGAGTTTGAACTACGTGTGGATGATGACATGATCAACATCAAAAGCAACAATAACTAATTATAAAAGAGAAGCATTAAGGTAATGTTTTCTTTAATATCATTACACAATACATGCCAAAGGGAAATATTCAGGCCTGAAAATCTCTCCAACATAATCTAGGCTTCCCATTCGACTAAGAGTTCATTTGAAGTATGAGGTGGTTATAGCTGTCTCTAAAAGTATTTGTAGATATGTTATAAGAGAATCAAATTTTGAATGTTATTCATTATAATTATTTTCTCTTTTGAAAAAGTTGAAAAATAAGTTTCTTATAGCTACCACACTTGAATAAATCTAAATGTAGAAAGCTGATTCTCAGAAACTTTTAAAAAGTACCGAGAAAGTTGTAGCCAAATAATACTTTGGCAGTTTTTTTAAAAGAAAAATTATGAAAAAGCTACCTCAAATGGACCCTTAAAAATAAGTTCCACAGAGACGGCCACAACTGTTTATAAAAATAGATAAAGAAGCTAACAGATTTTTTGCTATGAACTGAGAAAAAGCTATCAGACAGTTCTCTTATGCTTTATTAGTTCTACGAGCATATTGAGGTTCTCTTAACAATTAAATTGGTGGCATTGTCATTTTTTTCCTTAATTGGATGATTTTCCATAAGAATAAGAAATGTTGTATGTTTAGATTGTGGAAAAGTAAAAAAATTTAATGTAGAAAATATGAACTAAATTCACTCCCATTTCTTACTGTAATATGGTTGAATAGGCAAGTTTTGATATGGTAAAAATCCTAGAGCCATACATAATATTGCACAAGATTAAGGATATCGAGCAAGGCAAGCGCAGAAATGAAATCATTTGCAGATTTTGAAAGGCATGAAATATATAATTATAGTTTCTTCCTTAACAAGTACAGTCTTTTTTATTTTAAAAATGATAAAAATATACAATACTATAAGAATTTTCAGGAAAGAAAAGGAGAAACAATAAATATAGGTAAGAACAGCATTAGGGGTGATCAACAATAAGCAAACAAAGATGCCTGGGAAAATAGAATAATTACAATAGGAGTTGAAAAGCAATGGCATTAATTCTACATCGTGCAATGATTGCACAAGCAATCTAGAGTCAACTAATCCACAATATATATAGACTTGAAATAAAGATAGCAGATGGCATTAAGAAATGTATAGATACTAAGCTCTTCGAAGCACATGTGATCCACTTGACTCCATTACTTCTTATCATGGCTGCCTTCATACTATTCTAATTTCTACTAGAAAAAAAAAGGTGGATTAACCAATCCTTTTCTAAGAGCTCTAGCTTAACTAGTATGTTTCTAATTCTCAAGGTATGTCACAAGTTTTAATCCGACTTGGGACCTTCTTTAGACTAAATATTTACAAGCTCCCTGTCTAGAATTAATATGTACGTAGCTCATTCCTTCCTGATCTGTAACTGGCCCCATACCTACTTGTTTTGAACTAACTTTGTGCCCTGTTTTCAATTAATAAAATATTTAGTATAAATTTATATATCCTTGAAAAAAATTTATCAATCCTTTCATTATTAAATATAAGACATTTATATCCTTTTTAGTATACGCAATTACTAAGCATTCAAAGTTTAAAAGAGTAAACGCAAGTACCTCAATTTTGCCAAATCTACGCTATACCAATTTTTTTATTGAGTTAATCTTATTGATGTAAACATTGCATAAGCACGTTTTAGGTTACTGCTTCTAGTTTTTTTATTGATAAAAAAGTGCAATGGGTATAACATGTTACTATAAGATCCAGATCAACCAAATATATTATGATACCACTTGATCTAGTAATTATAATGTAGAAGATTCATGGAACTGGAAGGAAAATAAAGGCTTTATGTGGAAGTTAGGGTTTTAAGAAACCCTCCTGGTTTTTTGAAAGATTAAAAAAATACAGGCTACGGTTTGATGATGATTATGATTTATAATTTTTCTGCAAGTAGAAGCTTTCATGTATGTATGCCATCTGGAGTTTTTTTTAAAATATTAAAAGTGATTCTACCAAAATCATGCAAGAACTTATGGAGACAATTAACAAGAGAAATAAATGATATTTGGCATGCAAAATGATGGATCTCAAACCATAACTATGATTTCCACCATGAAAAACTTGCCCCTAGGTGCAAATTATGAGAGAGAGAGAGAGAGAGAGAGAGAGAGAGAGGAGACCAAATGTGTAGATGAGCCAAAATTAGCTATGAGAAAAATAAAGGGGGTGTCTAGAGAAAAATTTAAGAGAAATTTTGAGAGAGAATAATTAAATAACCATGCTTCAAATTACATCTTAATATCCTATTTAAAAAATATATATATATAAGAGACAACAAATTGAAATTCAGATGGCAAGAAACCCAATCTAAATCCAAGATAAATTGCAACTAAGTAGGCACAATAATCCAAAACTTTAATAAACATTCAAAATACAATTAAAATAATTCAAATAAACCCAATATGCAAGAAGTGGTCAGCCATGCATAATTTCAATAGCCGTTTTACTGATAGATGCCTCCCTTCATCTTCTAGAAATTTTGTGGGTCAATTTGAATGTTTCCCAGACTTATGGAAGCTACTGAAAGTTCATTAAATATTTTATTGCATTAAATCTAGCAAACCCTATATGGCTTGATACTGAAGAGGTATAATCTTGATGAACAGCATGGATAAGCCCTAGCATGAGTGCATTGATAAACCCGGATTGAACTACATAAGTTAGTCAACCTAGATGGATTGAATCAAATGTTTCAGTGCCTCCTAAATCATAGCTCCCTCCCCTTAAGTGATTTGCTCCTGTAAATCAAATATAAAGATAAGGAAGATTCCTCTTTCTGATCAACCCCTAGTTCAATGATTTATTTTGCTTTCTCTTCCTCATGGTAGAAAGAATTTTTAATTGGCTGTCTAGCAATTTTTACGCCTGCTAGCCTGAAATGGTTAGGCTAAGATGGTGTAGCCTTCTTCTAGCTTAACTACTAGGATGGTATAATTGACGCTTTTATTCAGGAAAATTGACATTCATCTCTTACAAGTGCTCCCAATCTTTAGCTTCACTAGAAATCTCCACATCCTATGAGGGTGGAATAAGTTTTATTAAGGAAATTTTAATATCAGTCATAAGAGAAAGTACAGTACAAGGACATTGCAAAAAATTTCTGTATGAAAAAGACAAAAAATAAAATACACTACAAAGACCAAAGAAGCTAGCCAAGCCAGAAGAGAAAAACCCGGGGTACTCCTCAAAAACGTCTAATTTAAAATCTGATATATTCCAAGAGTGACAATACTTTCTTGCATTTTTTTTCTTGCTTGGCATATATAATTTGAAACTTCTTATCTGTGAGAACTGGACCTGGCTGGTTCCTATTCTTTCAGCGGGCTGACATTCTGCGAGCAGGACCAAAGCAAGCAGCAAATCGAGTGGCCGTATGTGTGCGTAAAACCTCTATACGGTGTCGATTCGTGGTTCTAAGCGAAGGAACACATACTGGAGTGAAAAAGAACGACTCCTCACATGAGATATCTCTGTTTCATTCACTACTGTAGAAGCAAATCACGTGAGAAGCTTCAACCGAGAAAATTGAGCGGAGAGGAAGAAGAAAGAGAAGGAAGGTATGTTATTTTTATTCTCGTTCACTTTTTATGACTTGCATTTGTGACTTAAACTTAAGAAAGGATCCAAATCTCTTTTAAAGGTGAAGGAAGAGAAGTTGAGAACAAAAGAAGGATTTTCTGTTAGGAAAATTCTCTTTTGTAAGTGATTTCAATCATATATTTTGTTCAAATTTTGAATAATAGTACATATATATAATATATTTTGATGGAAAACAATAATGTATGATTTAGAAATGAAGAAAGTAAATTGGTGGAAGTTCGATTTGGCAAGAAGAAACAAATTGAGGTAAGATTTCTTTAAGGGAACAATTATGTGAAATTAATAAAAGTTAATAATAATAGTCATGTAATTTTATGTGAAACTTTAAGCTGCATTACAGAAGATTATTTCCAAAGCTCAAGGTTTGAAAGGAATTAAAGCTCAAAAGCAATTAAAGTGGGTAATTTCAATTTTGTTATATCAATTCTCAATTCCTTTTATGTTATTTAATTCATTTTATTTATTGAAACTATTGTATATTATAGTATTATGTTGATGGAATGAATATAATGTTCACAAAATGATTATTGTATAATGAAGACTATATGAATAGAAATGGAAATGTGAATTATTTGTTAAATGAATAAAATGACTAGACAGCTTACTTTAAAATATAAAGGAAATGAAATATTGAATGATGATTTAGTTGAAATGAAAATAATTAAAAGATGAAAATGGGACATGCATGCAAATTATAGGAGTTCACCCCTTATGATATTGACTGAGGAAGCAACATACATGTACACATTAAATGGAAACAAAAAAAGAAATGAAAATGATTATACATTTATTAATATATTTAGACAGTACTTTTGTACTAATGAAAATGGAAATTGAGTAAATATATAATGAAAATGGACAAATGAAATACAATGAGAATGTGTGTGTGTGTGTGTGTGTGTGTGTGTGTGTGTGTGTGTGTGTGTGTGTGTGTGTGTGTGTGTGTGTGTGTGTGTGTGTGTGTGTGTGTGTGTGTGTGTGTGTAAATGCAAAAGAAAGCCAAATGAAAGCCAAATGGGTATCTATATATGTATATATAATATTTTATGTATGATTACCGACTGAGTTTACCACGTAAACTCAACATGTTAAACTAAACTTTCAAGAAAGACTTTTGACAAATAGAAATTGCTTAATGAGGAGAGGAACGCGTCTACAAAAGACGGTGCACAAATGAAAATAGATAAGATGTTGTTTATGTAAAAGTGAGAATTGATTTTCAATCTGAGATTTAAGAAGATACTTTCAATTTCGTTTTTCTTTTCTAACTTCTAATAATAATAGAATGATATTTAAATTAAGTGGATGACTGGTTAGAATGATATTTTTGTTTGAATAAAATAATAATAATTTGAGAATGAATAAAAAAAGAAATTCATTGCCGCTTAAACAAACGTAAGAACTGAATTTACAAGAAGACTGTTCAAAAAAATCAAAAAACAAAAAAATATCAATGCAACTTACTTCAATGTGATTCACATCCAAAATTGATATCCCAACCTTCCAAAAACTTTCCGTGAAACAAATTAAGCCTAAGCAGAATAGCAGAAAATAACATCAAATCGATTTTCTAAGCACTAAGAACCATAAAAAAAGGGCTATACATAAATTCAGGAATCAGTACTACATGTGTGGATAACATGCATAGTTTTCGCAGGTGAAGGGTAATAACAGGATCAAAGCTTACTTAAAACCCTAGTGGCAACTTAAAGTACCAGTAAAACAGCTCATTCATATTCCAAAATTCCAATTTCAGGAAAACTACTACTGCCAACTTCAACGATTTTAAGATAGGCATCAGTAACAGTGGTATGGATCTTTGTCACGGAAGGGTCAAAAATGGATCGCACCTGTTCACGAGTGGTGGAGTGGGCATTAAGCTGGAGAGCGAGGGCGGCGTTCGAGGCCATGGTGTGGGCGTGAAGGTGGGGAAGCCTCTGAGAGATGTGCTCCGGAGGAATTCTAAGCCGGAGATCCTTGATCGATCGGTGGAGGGCAGCCGCCGCCCGGTCAAGTTCCAGGGCGCGCTGCTGCTGCTCCGGTGTGAAAACCAACAATGGTAACCCAATCTCACCGTCGTCGTCCTCATTCCCCGTCCCGCTCCCACCAACGACGTCAGCGGCCCACGCGAGAAGCCCGGCCATCGCCGGAACACGTCCAACTCGTAAAAACAGCGTTTCTTGAAAGGCTAATATATATATAATTAATTAACTCTTCTATATTTCTTATGGATTCTCAACTTTTTGTATGATGTAAATACTATATACATTATTTTTCATATGTTCATTCACATCTCAAACTATCTTGAGAGACAAATCTAGCAACCTCACTTCTAACACTCATCCCTCTTAAGTGCGAACTCACCTATATAAGTGCTTCTTGTCAAAACTCCTTCGTGTTGAAACTATTCTCAACTTCAATCCTCTGTCAAAACTCCTTGCAACTTCGAGAATATGGGGCAGCGAAATTGGGATGATGGACTGGCCGCCACAATAGTTTCTATAATAACTCAATCTTCTAGATCAATGAGTCTTCAAGCTTCATACTATGTGAGGTATAAAATCCTACCTTTTCTTTTAGTGCTTTATTGGATTTATTATTCTGTGCGGAGTGCGGAGGGCGTTCGGAGACCAATAAAAATGTGCCACATCACCTCATTGGTGGGTACCCAGCTCGGTACCAATACTCAGTACTGCTAGGTACTGCTGGGTACCAAGTGCTTAACCGGATGGTTCTCTCGTCCGATCTCCCTACATAACAAAAGCTCTTAGGGGGAGAGACAAATTAAGCCATGAACATAGAGGTTTTCACCATGATTTGTTAGCCTTAGGTTCGCTCTAGCTTTATTATGCTTGTGAGGGCTTGTAGGAACAGCTAGAAACAAATGGGTTCTGCTTTCTAGTTTCAAAACACAATCAAAGGAGAAAAATACAATCTACTCCGTCCATTTATATTAATGGGAATCAAGAGGCATGGTTGATCTTAGTTAAGCTAAGTGTTTTTTTCCACTTATTGTTTAATGTAGATGATTCAGTGAATCATTTCAAATGGTCTTTTTTTTTTTTTTTTTTGAATGGAAAGCATGCATCATAGATTGAAAAGATATTTGCTTACTATTTACCTCAATATTTAAATTATTAAAAAGTAAATACTATTTGCTTAAATGGTGTAATACATTTGGGTCTTTAATAGATTTTGAAATTTCTAAAACTTTTAGTGGTGTAAAATGTTTATCCACCATTCAAAAGAATACTATGATCATGTTTGGATGACTTATTATTATTTTTCTTGATAAAATGATTTTAGTACCAAACATTCCTCCCAATCTTGAATGCATTAAGGTTTCATTTGGGACAGCTTTCTAATTACTTTTTAAAATAGCTTTTTAATACAAAAATTTATATTTCAAAAAAAAAATTATATTAAAAAACTGCTTTACAATACAGTAAGAAAGTTGCAGTTCCAAATTGTAGCAATAATGTATTCCTTCATTTGCTTAGAAAACCCGTTCATTTTTATAGTGCATTTCAATAAAGCCAAATATGATATATTTCATCTTAACTGTGTATGCACCCTCTTAGTATTGTTATGAAGATTATTATTCAAGAAGTCTACATTCATCTTATTTTGTACTATAATAACTTAACAAATTAAGGCAAAATCTTACTTTCAATCAACAATAAAAGCCAGTTAGGACTTATCATTGAAGAGTGGCTTGAAGTTCAGTTAAACATGTTTAGGCTTCGTTTGGGACAGATTTTTTATTTCTTCTTAAAATAGCTTTTGAATAAAAAATTAATTTTTTATACTAAAAAGTTGTTTTAAGAAACAGTAAAAAAATTATCTCAAATAGGGGTGTCAATTTTTGACACGACCCGAAATCCGACCCGGAAAAATCCGGGTTTGGGTCGACCCGTTTGTGAAATGGGTCGGGGTTGGGTTCAATAAACTGACCCGTTTCAAAAAACAGGCCGGGTTCGAGTTGACCTGGCAACCCGAAAATAACCTGAAATTGACCCGAAATTTTTATGAACGGATCTGCTGCCCGAACCATCGAGTGCCCTGCCCCAAGCATCAGCTGTCAAGTCGCGTGAGTCCCGAACTCCGAAGCGGCCAGTCTTGCGCGCCCCGAACGACCGAACCTGAAGTCGCGGTGCGCGTCCCGATTCCCGAAAAGGCTAGTCGTGTGAGTCTCGCAGTGCGCGTCCCGAATTGTCGAACCCGAAGCATCAACCATCACGTCGACGCCGTCGAGTCGAGTCACTGGACGCTGGCTTCTTGGCTCGACGTCGCATGCTGCACTACTGCCTTTGTAGCCTGCAACACGGCAACCTGTGTGGAAACCTAGCGTTTGAGATTTATTCAGGTCGTGTCAACCCGGCAACCCGTGCGGGTTGGGTCCGGGTTGAAAAAGACGACCCATTTATAAAAACGGGTCAGTTCGGGTTGACCCGTTTAGAGTCGGGTCAATTCAGGTTCGATTCGAACCTAACCCGCTAACCCGAATTGACACCCCTAATCTCAAATGAAGCCTTAATCATTTGATTTGTATGCTTCTGTTACTTTTTGAGCCTTTATTTTTTGTCATTCAAAAAATTTGAAGAATAACAATTGAGAATCTTCACGATGCTTCACCCAAATTAGAGAAGCATTAGAATTTCTTTATTGATGAACACTTAATATTTAAAGATATGACATAATTTCATTATTTAATAATATTTCATACAAATTTATTTACTTTTTTTTCTATTTCTACGAACTCTTACATTTTAATCATCTTTTATGATTTTATATAGTTCTTTTAATATTATTTCATTGTTACTAACATCCATCAAATGTAAATACTTTTATACTAAATTGTATTTATATCATTCTTCTATCCTTATGAATTGTAAAGTCAAAAATCAAAGTTTTCAACATGAGGAATTCGCTTTCCGGTCTTCAACATCATCGAACGCCTCTTCTTCCACCCAAAGCTCAACCTGATCTTTCATGGTGGCACAGTGGCACTTCCTTCAACACTACAAGAAGCACGTGAAATGGTCTATAAGACGGACGGGCATCTTTATTTTCTTACTATAATTCTTCTACCTCATTCTATTAAAAATCTTAAGATATAAATAATTGCTCACTATTTGTCTAGAAAAAAAACTTATTTGCAATCTTAACTAATGAGCTTTTCATTATGAAAAAAGAGTCTATATGTTGATTGTTCATTCTTTTCTTATTGAAAAAAGCCAAGTATAATAATAATAAGTGATGGGTTATATCTTATAAGGTTAGGTATAGCTACTATTTATTTGTTTATATTGTTTAATGTTTAATATTAATGCTAGCTATTTTAATCAATAGATATTTACCTATATCAATATTCAATTGACAAATGTTTTACTAACTTTCATTTATAATAGGTCATTTTCTGGATGTTTATATGAAATTTGATAAGCAGGTGTTTATATATACACACACAATATTAATGGTATTAATAATATTATAAAAGCAAGATTCTCCTCATAATAAATCTTAGTATTTCACTTTATTTAATTTGATTAATGATTTCAATCTTGCTAATACATTAAATATATCCTTTGATTCTGATAATAGCCTCTTTGCTAGCTTAATTTATTTTCACCTCATTCCTAATCTAACTATTCCTATTCCAAAGTAAATTGCCTGCTCGATTTCATAAGTTGAGATAATTTTTCCTTTAGTTTTTTTTTTTTTTCAAAATTGTTGCTGGCTGGCAAATTCGCGGCGGTAGAGTGAAAGATTTTACGTCTTAGCGATGTTCGAAAATTCAACACATAAATTTATAATGATAAATGAACACTGAAATTTTTCATGGAAAACTCTGAAAAGGAAAAAAAAACTATGAGGCCTTACCGATTTGAAATAATTTCACTAGTGTTTGAATATATTATAAATGTTCACATGTCCCTTAACTTAAGGATAATGAGAATATAATATATTGGAAAATATGCTAAACTTCAAAAGGGTCTTGATCTTGATTGAATGATAGATATTAAAATTTTGATGGTAGTAGTCGGGAGAATGTTCAGTAAAGGTATCGCGATAGTTGGAGATCCAGCAATAACTAGCTGATCGGCAAAAGCTCGACAATGTTTGTACATCTGAATGTAGTGAACAAACGGACAAAAACTTGGCAATAGTCGGTGGTCGGTAAGAGATCTAACAGCAACCAATGAATGGAGGAAGTCCGATGATGATCGGTGGTCGATAAGAGATCTAACGGCGACCAAAGAAGAAGCAGAAGTCCGACGATGGTCGGTGGGCGGGAAGAGATATGTTGGTGGCCAACAAACGGACGGAAGTTGGGCTACAGTCGATGGTTAAGAAGAGATATAGCGGTGGCCAACGAACAGGTGGAAGTCCTGAGATAGTCGATGGTTGGGAAGTGATATAGCGGCTGCCAACAAGCAGAGGAAGTCTGGCGATGGTCGGTGCTTGAGAAGAGATTTGGTGATGGCAACACTGACTGGAGAATGAAAGTGAGCTCCCAAGCTTTCACTTCTCTTTCACCCTCCCTCATGTGAAGAATGAGGGTGTATTTATAGTTTTTGGGTACTGACATGCATAGTAAATATGGAGAAGATCTAGGAATATTTTGAAGTGTTTCATCGGATGGCTAACATTAATTCCCTTGATCATGAAGCATCTTCAAATATTCATATGTCGTAATGATGTCAGAATTAAGAGATATTGGGCTTGTTGGATGTCTTGTCAAGCCGCTCGATTAAACTATAAGCATGTTATATTCATATCATTTGATCATCCAATTGATGCTTTGAAGCTTTTATGTATGTTTTGGTCCTTCGATTTGAGCTCATTTGGGCTCAAATAAGACTAAATTTGGTGTTATTAGGTTCGTCTCTTTGAGATCTTCAAATTGGATATAGGTTTGCTAAAATCAAAGTTTAGATGGTCCGAAATTTAATTTTTAAAGCTTCCAACTCATATTTGCATTGAGACTCATGCCCGATCATGATATTTTTTTGATGACATATCAAAAATAAAATTTCTCTTCAACTTAATAGGTGTAATAATTTATTTTTAGCTTCATTGATTTAAATTATTAATTCTCATATATTAGTGTCGTACTCCACATATGTGCCTTATCAAGTTTTTTTTGGGGGAATTGCCTTATCAAGTTTGCAAGCAAATGAAAATCCTAAAATT